GATGGCGTCTCTTCAGTGATCTGCTCTGTAAAAATGATTTTTTATAAAATAATACAAAGAGCGTCTAAGATTTTTGGCTTTCAGCAGTAAATTGTAAGCATATAGCAATATATGTATGATCATAGAACACATTTTTTGTTAATTTGAAGGAAACTTTTACAAAAAATAAATAAAATAAAAATGTACATTTATTTAATGCAGTTACTGAATAATTTGCCTTACGATTTGGTCATGTAAATTCAGATGGAAAAACCAAGAAGCTGGCGAATAGGAAGTTAACCTCAGCTTACCTCAGTAAATGCTTAATCAGGAAATTCCTTGAACCTTCATTTGGACATGTTTAATGAGCAGCTAATGAGCAGCACAGAAGAGCTATTATCAGCCGCTGGAGCTGCTGGACTGCTGAACAGCCTGAACCACAGACTTGTATACTTCACCTACTACACTAATGAGTGCACTTCTAATAGTAGTTGCATTATTTTCTGCATACTGTTCAGTGTGCTAGTATGCGGTTTGGGACGCGCCAACAACAACAAAAAAAAAAACAGCGCAAATCTCAGCTGTTCAGATTTTAGCTACCGTTTGTTATCACTGCAGCAACAAATCAAATAAAATAAAATATTAAAAATAAATATAAATATTTATAGCTTTATCTCATTACACTGCGGTGCCGAATGAATCTACCAAAATGGTGGCAGCACGACTGTGTGATGTCAGTGGAGAACTATGCCTTCCATAGTGAGTGAACTGATGACAGCATGCTCACTTCACTAAACTGTAATTTTGAGAGTTTACTGGTTCACTAAATGTACTAAATAGATGGAAGATGGATGTTTATTTGTTATGTAAGTCTCTGATAAAGTGTGAAAAACAAGAAAGCCTAGAGACTGCTAACTTTATATATAAATATATATGTGTATATATATTCCCCCCATCAGCTGTTGTTTTACTGTTCAACATGGTGGTCTTTAGAGTGCTCTGTTTGCAATGTATGCCTTGTTTGCCCATACAATGACTGACAATTTATATAATAATAATAATAATAATAATAATAATAATTTGTTGCTTTTGTTTCTTTTTTTTTGGTGTTTTGAGTTCTGTAATTTTACAGTATGCAATTTTGAATGCTCATTGTTGGGTTGACCCTCAGAAGACCCTGCTGGGCCTGGTAATACAATGGTGTAATTCAGTATTAATTGTCCTACTTCTCACTCATAGCTGTCTGAAACAAGCAGAGGAAAGCTGATGAAAGTGCAGAACATTTTTGATTATATGATATATGATATTTTATCATGATTTGAAATTGATTATTTAATTATTTTAATGAGTCTTTATTTTTAGTCTTTTTTTGTGGAAAGTAAAAACATCCTTTACAGTTTTGTCATGTTTTTCCATTTTGACAGAAGAGTGGAGACTCAAAACTGTTAATACAGAATGTGAATGTGACTGCAAACATAATTGCATAGTTTATCTAGTTAATGGCGTTTATCTTAAAACTGTTGTAAAACAACGTCTCAGGAATCAGGCAGTGTATTTGTAACTATACATAGATACACACACACACACACATATATATATATATATATATATATATGTATATATATGTATATATATATATCTATATATATATCCTATCACTACCACTGTGAACAATTCAGACTCTGTAAGCTCTAGAATTGAAATGACCAAATTATGCAGTAATATGGAAAAATCAGTACCTGATTACTACTGAGGGTACATTTACATTGCTTGTATCTCAGGACACACACAAAAAAATCTTTTTTTTCTAACAGTGTAGGAACCAAAATTGTACAGATTCAGAGAAGTTCTCTACTTATTTTACTTGTATATATGTGAATGATCAGATGATCAAAAAGCCAAACAAGCAAGAAATGTGAGCAAGAGAGCGCCGTCTCTAGCAGCACGCTCATCTTGTCTCATGGAGTAACTCTCTGCAGTAGTGTATGTACTGGTTTCGCTCTGTTACACCCATCTCCTTTTCCTGACCTCCCTTTCTCTGCAGAAAGCACTGGGGCTGACAGCCATCAGCACATGTTGATCTGGGTCACAGGACAGATGTCACAAGTGCAATACCTACCAGTGTCACTCGCTGCATTGTAACTGAGCACTCAAACAAGCTGCTGAGCTGGGTGTAGCAGCAGCTTTACGTAGTTTTGCGGAATGATTCACTTTGACAGCAAGCACAGGGGTCTCTCTGGACATTCCTGCAGGGTGGATTGAGTAAAATATGGTTCTTTTTTAGTGGGTTTTTTAGGGTTTTTTCCCTAGATCATGAATTTGAACATAACATCAGCCTAGGCTGTGTATAATTTAACAGAAAACAAGGAGTCCAACTGTGGTGAGACAAGTTCTTTTTCTGTGACATCTACTCTGCAACAAGTGCTTATGGATTCAGATTTCCATCTCCAGTGACCTTGTGTTGCAGTTCCATTTTACTTGAAGAATTAAAGTCAATTCTATTATATATTTCTATTAGTATCAGGTGCTCACCACATAGGATCAGGTACTCACCACATATTACTGGATGCTCACCTGATAGTATCACCAGATTTTTACAAAACCCTCCAGGCTCTGTAGAATTCCACAAATTTTTCAAAACTTTTTTTTTCAAAAATGTTTCAAAAGCTTTGGATGTCTGGTTCCTATCACCACCACTGTGATCAATTCTCATCAGGTTTCTCTGAAATGGAATTTCAAATAATTCAGAATAATACAGAATGACCCACAGTGTCACGTGTGTACCAGGAATATGTCATAGAAGGCTTTACCACCACAGTGGACAGCGCAGTGGCTGCCCACGGATACTTGATGATCATGACTGTCGGTGTCTGGCTCGAATTGTCCGTGCAAACAGACAAGTTACTCCGGCAAAAATCACACCCACATTCAATGTAGAAGGCCCTACATGCATATCCTGCAGTTCAGTGCAGCATTCTTCAGCTTCCATGGTATATGGGAGCAGAAGACCCACCAGAGTGCCTCTGTTAACACCATGACACTGGACACAACACCTCACCTGGGCTTGTGAGGTTGCTAACTGGACTCTAGAGGACTGGCAACATGTGGCGTGGTCCGAAGAGTCACAGTTCCAATCGACCCCATCAAGCCATGGACCCCAGTTGTCAACAAGGCACTGTACAGGCTGGTGATGGTTCCATACTGGTGTGGAGTGTGTTGTCACAGCATGGGTTGGGTCCACTGGTCTGTCTAAACACGTCACTGACTGGTAACCGCTACGTTTTACTGCATGGTGACCATTAGCAGCTCTTTGTGGACCATTAGCAGCTCTTTCATGTACCTCCACAATGATGGAATGTTCCAGCAGAATAATGCACTATGCCGTCAGGGCCTAAGTTGTCCAGAACTGGTTCGAGGAGCATTCTGGAGAGTTCCAACAAATGGTGTGGCCTGCATGTTTGCCCAACATGAGCCCAATCAAGCATTTATGGGATGTGGTGAAGAGGTCCATTCGCACCTGAGATCCTGCACCTACAAATATCATTGAGCTGTGGGTGGCTTTCCAGATGGCACGGCTCAACATCCCTCCAGATGTGTTTAGCCCACTTGTGGTAATCAGTGCCACGTTGAGTTGCTGCACTTCACTGGGCTAGAGGGGGTCCTACACAATACTCATTGTCACTCATCTGAGACAGGTAATAAAAAGAGTGAGGAAAACACTCCGGCTGCACTAAAGCAGCGCCGAAACGCGTCTGAGGTGGCTTGAGGTGAAAGCGCCGTGCCGAGCGCGGAGCTGCGCAGCTGCAGTGAGAAATGCTCCGTTCTAGAGAAACTTACCAAAGCAGACTTGTTCAAAGTGGTGGTAATAGTAAGCACACATCTGAAGAGTTTAATGCATTTATAATTGCTACCTTAGATCAAGCTATTACGTTAAATGGTAATGAACGCACTGCCTGAGGCCTAAGACATTGTTTTACTTCAACTGAAAAGGTTTTGGTCTACAAGATATTTTCAGAACAGACAAGTACATGCAGGGTGTTCTAAAGTAAAACAGGCTTCAGAGAAAACCTATGGCCCAGAAGAACCATTTCACCTTGCAAATAACCATTTAGGCATGAAATAGAACTAACAGAACCATTCCCTTTACTAAAGAACCCATGAAGAACCACCTTTTTAAGTGTGTAGGTTTCTCTACAATGCACAATTTCATACCAAACCACTCTGAATGACTTCATCTACATCTCGACTAAACTACATCTACATCTTCTAAATAACACCAAAAGGGTTCTTCTATTGTTACATTGTCAAGCCTGTAACAGTAGAGGAACCCTTTTTGAACCTTATAAAACACACTCGCCATCAATCTGAAGAAACCTCCACAATGCAAAGAACCCTTTCTTTGAGTGCTCATGGCTCTATATAGAGCCATTTTCTTTACTAAAGAACCCTTGAAGAACCATCTTTTTTCAAGTTTGTACATTAATAAATGTCTTCATAAATATGCGACTATTTTCTTTTGTCGACAGGGGGCGCCAAAACCTTGTGTGGTCCAAACGACCAGCAAAAATAAATAATAATAAAAATACTAAAAGTACAAATAAAATAGATTTTAAAAAGATTTAAAATGTTTTTTTTTACATTTCAGCAGTGTGCATATGTATGTATAGAATATGTATGATATATGTCTAAGTTACAAGAATTGGATATTCATCACAAACGGCATCTTGTTTTAGAACTCAGCAGTTCTCTCGGGGTGCCATTAATCCCCCTGCAATCAACTCCTACTTCGAAGAGTTTAACTCCCAACTTGTTTTAACGAAACATGGCAGTCTGAGCTCGTTGGCTGTCAGAGACACTTGTGTTTGGAGGGTGTTCTCCGGGTGTGGGCTGGAGGAGGAGATGAGGATCCACTCCGCTGGCTCTCTGCTGCCTCGTGGCGGAGCCACTGCAGCTGCGCAGCTCCGCGCTCGGCACGGCGCTTTCACCTCAAGCCAGCTCAGACGCGTTTCGGCGCTGCTTTAGTGCAGCCGGAGTGTTTTCCTCACCCTTTTTATTACCTGTCTCAGAGAGGATTCGCTCACATTCGCGTGCTGAGACAGACCCTCGGCGTCGGCGGACGCTCTCAGGCGTACGAGTGGATGGCATGGAGCGCTCGGTGGTGAAACGTGGGGAGAAGTGAAGTGATCCACCCGCGCGCGGCGTGTGCTCGCTCTCCTTAAGAATGACAACAAAACAAAATGAACTCTTCCTTCCTCTGACATTGAGAAGCGTGTGCGCGATGTGCGTCTGAAAGAAGGCGAACCGACCGTGAGAATTATTATTTCTTTTATTTTTGCGCTGCTCTTTTAGCCCTCAAGTTGTGGGACTGGACTGCACGAGAGAGAGTTGGCGCGCGCAGTGATGAGCGTTGCTATGTCACCATGAAGCTCCTGCAGTTCATCGTTTTGTGTGGGTTTCTCTACACTCACACCGACGGTAAGCTCTGAGCTCTTATGAGCGGCTTTTGTCTAGTTTTATTCAACTTGTCCCGTGTCTTAACTGTCTTAACATACTGCCAGTCAACATTTTTTTCCTTCTAAAGCAGCCTTTTGGGCTTGTTTGGGGACAGACACAGGTTATCCTATCGTTATCTCAGTGTATGCTAGCTAATTAACTGATGGTTAACTGGTGTTTCTTTAAAAACTCGGGCTAGACTAATAAATGCGAAATAAACACGTATAAAACTGCAATAATGTGACTTTTAAATGGTGTCTAGTTTGCTTAGCTACTGCACACAGAACACTTATATTGCCGCCAGTCCAAGTTGGCTTCTTATTTGAATTTTCCGTTCCACCTTAAACGGTGCTGCAGGCGCCAGAATGTAACTGCTGCATCATTTAAGGTGGAACGGAAAATTCAAATAAGAAGCCAACTTCATCCTCATTATACTGCCAGCTTTTTAGTCAAACTCAGTGGCAAAACATATTCTCTGAGATTCTCTCATACATGGCTTTCTTGTGTTTAACTCGCCCAGGCTAATTAATTTGCTTGCTCGGGCGTGTTAATTATCCTACAGTGAATCCGTGACGGCTGTTGAGCTTTTTGCCTTGTCGAATCGATAACACGGGGTCACGTTTTATCCAGCGAGCGTACTCACTGGTAAAATATCGAGCCACGTATGAAAACTGTTGTGTGCCTTTCTGTTCTGTATAGATGAGAGCTACAGGTAGAAATGTGTAGTAATTTCTCCTGCGGGGCTCTGTGGGTAGCTTATTTAATAACACCGTTAATGGGCTGCAGTCTGTAAGATTCATACTTGCAGATGTTCAGTTGAAGCTTAATAGTGCTGAGCGATAAATCGTCTGTGATACTGACACGCTGTGATATTGCTTATCGGTTTTAGGGATACGTACTAAGTTTTTATTCTGGAAATAAGGGTTGCGTCAGGTTATTGGTTACAATAGTTGTTCGTAATCCTTTGGTTTAATTTTAAGAGAAGAAAACAGCAAAGTAGTCAGAGCTGTTTCAGGTTTGTAAGACACTGTTTTAGCATAGAGCACGAATACTCAGGAAACTTTTTTGTTAACTTTATACATGTTAAATTAGATACCATATGGTGCTATATTATATTTGGAAAATATTGAGATACATGCATTTTAATGATACCATCAAGTACTAACTCTATACATAATGCATTATAATTCATCAGTAGTACACTAGTTGCTGTATTGCATTATTAATGTGCTACAACAGTGTTCGCAGAACAGTAGTAAAAGATACAGAGCATCACTCGATGATTTTCATGATCTCTCAGATCCAGGGTTCCAGTGTTATGTTGCTATCTTTTTATAACATTATCGTTCATGTTCAGGTAATCTTTTAGAGCTGCAGCACACTTGGAGTAATGTGGGGTTAAGTGACTTGTGGAAGGGCCTCCATAGACTTTCAGGGAGTACAGCATAGCTTTCACCATCCTTTATCTCCAATAACCTGTTTGCAAACTAAAAAAAAAAGTCAGAGGTCATTTTTTAGTCTATAATATTTGCACAGTTGCCTATTTATGTGAAAAAAACACTGAAGCTGCATCTCAAATCATACTATACACACTATATTAATGTATGTGCTGCCAATGATGGTGTACTATTTTTGACAAACTATATTATGAGGAAGTATGCGTTTTGAAATGCAGTTTTAAAATTATACCTGATTACCTCTTCATCACTGTTCCTACATTTGTGAACAGGAGACGTCATGACCATGTATTGAGTTTGACTTTGGGATACAGTGTCTGTGTTCATAGCCTCTGATCTCTGGTCCTTTACTGTTGTCTTTTTTTGCAAGCATAGGAAATGGACATCAGGATGTAGGTGAGGTGAAACAGTTGTAGAGGGCTTCCAGGGTCCCCCGAATCTCTTTCTCAATTGCCTGGGGAAAAACACTGAGTAGATAATTAGATAGGCGATCTTCAGATTGCATATTCTCCTTGAAGTTGATTTGTTCAAACCATTTTATGAGTACCCACTGTTTTTTGGACTTTTTTTCTGTCTAGGAGATCAAGCCCTTTAAGGTCAGGGGCTAATTATGATTCTGTCTGTATTAATCTCAAGAGGCCGAGAGTTATTACTTTAGTTTCACTACACCATTACTATAATGGTGTTGAGTGCAATTATTTTTCACAATTGTTAGCTTTCAGTTGTGTTACATTGAAACAAGCAGATGTGGTGCAGAATCATCCTTTGGGTTGTGGCACATAAAAATAAATCAAAGAAGGAACTTTATTTGATGAGACGCGTTATGTTATATCTTCTGACTGGCATTACAACACCTTTAGAGGGCAGCAAGTAATGTTTGTATGTAATGTGTGGGATGTTTGTTTATTTGAGCTCAAGCTGTTTCTGGGAGCTAGTGTTAACAGCTAAGAAGCGAGAAAGCTAATCAGCCAAATTGACCACTTTAGACTCGCGCCTAAATAGTTGCATATGATGAACAAAATAGGACAGTTAAATTGCTGATTGCACTTATGTATATGGCATTTAATCTTCAGCTAAGATGTCATGATTGTGGCAGGCCTATTCATTCATAGCTTAGAGTTTGCACTTTTGGTGTTTTTCTGCTTTTTTCTTCATGTTAAACATGACCTCATGCCCAGCTGTACTTTTTTTAAACCCTTGTGTGGTGTTGATGTTTTTGTTACTCAGTGGTCCGGTGGACCCACTGCATTATTGTTTTTTTAAATCAATACAGCCATAACAATTTATGTAAAAACACCAGTTGTTTAAAATATCACAAGTGGCCAGCGTAGGGTTCTCCTTTAGCAGCTGTAGCCAGTCAGCAGCCTGTCCATGTTGTCCACCCTCACACACACACATACACACACACACACATATACAAACACATACACACACAGACACAGACACAAACACTGACAGCAGGCCATGTAGGAGGAGAACAGAGTGAAGGGACACAGCACCTCCACACTTTTATTACCCGTGGGTTCACCCCAACACCTCATGTGTAATGTAAATGTAGGGAGGGTATACAGTGTGAAGACATTGAAATTTGTTATTTTATATGTTCTTGACAGAAAATTAGCAAAGGCCAAGGAATCTAAGGTTGAAATAAATAATAATTTGCATCATTTTTTATATTGGTAAACTCTGAAAATAGGTCCCACAGACCCAAACACCACACAAGGGTTAATAAATTCAGTTCAAATTCGTAATGCAATATATTTTACTTAAGCAGACGTGATGTTGATTCAAAGTTTAGAATCTATATTTTTAACAGAATTTATTGCCTTGTTTCTCTGAATTCCAAGTGAGAAATAAATAATACTGAATCACAAGATGATTTTGCTATTGTTGTTAGTAATGGCAACTTCTAAGGGAGATGCTACAAAGAAATTCATTCTTACGGAAAAAAATATTGCCTTCAAATCTGACAAGGCGTTGTCTTTGTTATTTACACATCCTCCCTAATTTTCAGGCTTTCAACAAAGCACATGGTGAAAATCTGTTTTCAAAGATGTACTCACACATCAGCTACACTCACAATGGTAGTTACAGTGAATGTGAGTTACTGCTTATGCTTTGAAGCTTCAGGCCGTGACAGTTCTACTGAGGTCTGCCAAACCCCCACACCGACATGATGCACATTTCCCAATTTTCCTTTTTCTTTGCTTTTGTGGGTGAGAAATAGCTCTGATTGTACAGTATGCTAATAAAGGGTAGCTGAACACCTAAGAGCGGGCTCAGAAGAGTCAGAGGTGTTTTCATGTTTTCTGTGGATGAAAGCGTGTGAAATCTGGGCAGTCATATGTACAGGAGCACTGAAAGGATTAATGAAGCAGCAGTAGTCTGAGGGAGCAGTTGAGCGTGCTTATGCGTGAGCCGCTGCGTTTGAATGAGCTGAGTCTTCGCTGGTTTGAGTCGTCTAACTTTGGCAGATTATTTGAGCTGTGCTTTATGGTGGGAATTGCTATGGTCAGACAGGCTTTGGAATCAGGCAGACAGTCTAGACAGCGGGCTTTTGAAACTGAACTCGAGATGGAATTTCATATTTAGAGGCTGTGGTGTTAAATCTTTAATGCACTCCACTGCCACGCGATGTGATGAGTGGGATGGTGGTTTTAACGATTATGTCGCTGTGAAATTTCTGTGATCTCTTAATGTCCTCATTTGCATTTTGCAGCCTTTTGACTGAAACACACTGGAACAAGTAAATGGTCGCTTAGAGTGTATGTTAGACTGAGAAACCATCTGAATTACTAGCTAATGCATCTGATTATGGCACTTATGAGCTTCTTATGCCTTGGTGCAATGACATGAATGGTGATCTCTTAGTGGATCATATTATTTGCTCATATTTGCTGCTATCATTTCTGTTTATTCTTGTGTTTGATATGAAGGAGAGTGGACCAGTATGGCAGCAATGTTAGTATGTGTTTGAGTATTGTGTGATATAAACCTAGTCAAAGGTCAGAGATGAAGTTATTGTAAGTACTGTACTTACACAGTACTGTGCAAAAGTCAAAGACTGCTCTTCATTTATTTAATTACACCAGGGGTGTCAAACTTGACCACTAAAGGAGCCATATTAAAAAATCTTAACAAATCTGTGGGCCAAAGAAAAAAATGTTTTAAATTTTTATTAAATGTTATGCTATATCTGGCCATTGTTTATTCAAAATATTTCAGCAGTAAAATACAGGCGCTTGTGGTACACCTTGAAATATTACATGAATACTTGAACTGCAGCTGAAATGCAGCTAGTGTGTTTGGTGATATGACTGGTGTGGAATTGTATAGAATTGAGGTGTAATTGCTGTACCATAGATTGTTGTTGGGGTAGGAGAGTCAGAGTGCACATAATGTTGCAGTGCATGCTGGGGACTGTAGTGCAGTGCATTGTAAAACGTTAATAGAAAATTAAAATCCTTTTGCAGGCCTTGTGTTTGACACATGGGATTTACATGGAAGCCTCAACAACTGTTTAGTATGTTCACTCTTTACCTTTATTACAGCATTCATTTTTTTTAGAAACTTGCTTTCAGTATCTAATACAAAAAATCTGCAGGGATACTTTTCCACACTTCCCAAGTTCAGTCTTAGAAGTTGGTTTTATTTTCTGCTTCTCAAGATGCAAGTAGTCCCAAACACATTTAATGATGTTGAGGTCGGTTGTCCTGAGAAAACCAGCAGTTTTGTTAGATTTGTAAATTGTCTTCTTTTTGTTTTTTTCCTTTTCGTAATAACAGCTTCTTGACAGCTACACATCCTTTCAGACTCATAGTGTTGACAGAAACAGAAATGGACAGAAACACAATGGATTTTTTTTAAACGAGTGGAGCTTTATTTTTCCTCTCTCTCTAAGACAAAAGTATCAGGTACTGCTTGTCTGATAGTGACAGTTTTGGTGATCTACCAAGTCTTGCATGGTTGTTAGGAGTCCCATTCTCTCTGTTTCTTTGAATAGTATTTTGAACTCCAGTTTTGGAAATCCCTATTTTCTCACTTATTTACTTTGACGTTCCCCTTCCATGTGGTCCTAATTTTGGACGAAGCCTGCTTAAGCTTTCCCTTTACCCTTAGTCACAAGGCTAATGTGGTTTGTCCCACCAGCTTTAACAAAACTTCACAATCCCCACAGTTTCACACGCCTTGACTGAGCAGCGTAGTAAGTGAAAGCTAACCTAGCAGGTGTAACGGAGCTGCCCGGCTAGCTCGTCTGTCTTCACTCCATTTTTTTGTTGGTCCAACCGGTAATGCCAGCATTGACACAGAAAAGCTGGAGAATATAATGAGCCACACTATTGGACACAGCAGGGTAGTCTGTAGCACCAACTGCATATGTAGCTCCAGTTTCACTCATTGCTCGTACTGTTGTCTTTAGTTTAACATGTGTTGTGTAGCACGTTGGGTGTCTTGTACAGAGTGATGTCAATCACCTGTACTTATTAGAATATTAGATTCTTGATTTTTAAGCAGTGCTTACAAAGTTTTTAATTCTAGCTTTGCTGGGTGTTTAATTAACAGTAAATTCTAGTATTAAACAAATATTTCAGATATTTTATGCTGTGTTTCCTAAGATTACAAAGGGGATCTGGTAAACTGAACTGCATTTTCCTTACCAGTTCTTATGTACGTTATTCATCATCTACAATCCCCTTATAACTCTAAAGGCTGTTAGGATTTGCTGCTCAGTTCTGCGTGACATTGAGCAAACTTTTACTCATTTACATCATTTCACATGCACTGATAATGAATAGGACATATGCTGTCCTCACTGGAGTAGGTTGGGCATATAGCTAAGACATCAGGCTCTACTTTGGTAATATTAAGAGAAAGACTCTGAGTTTAAATCTTTACTGAAGGAGTCAAGATTCCAACTGTAACACCCAAAGTAAAGAATATTTAACTTTAATTGTTAGCTTTAAATGTCTGTCTTTAATCTAGAGAGCTGCTATAAAATGTCAACATTCACCACCATTAGCTTGGTGCTAATGTAAAAGAAAATCCCTGTTACTAGGCTAGAGAAAATTAGAATTCTTTGTGAGGCTAAAATGTAAACCAAAAGCTTTCAAAACATTCAAAGCAAATTATGTTTCAGTATTAAACCGTGTTGTGCAATGACATGCTTGGCTGGCACGTGCTCATGAATATGTGTGAATATACATTTTATTTTACCATACAGTGACGCCAACTGCATATATAAGTCAGCAGCCGTCATAGAGCTCTCCACTGCACACAGGCCACACTTCTACCCTGTCCCCTTCACTAAGACACAGAAGAGAGCAGTGATCATTAATATACATGATGAATACCCAGAAAATTACCTGTTTTTCAATAATTGACAGGGTATTACAAATACTGAATTAAGGTGTTATTTGTTTTATTCTCCTCACAGTTGTTTTTCAAAGAGCATAGGGAGCTAAATAAATTTGAAAAATTGAACTGAAATATGTGTCCTTTAAGAAAACAATTGAAATGATTCAGATAAAACTATTTGATTGAGCCAGTGGTATTGGAAGTGCTTCAAATATAAGAAAACTTTATTTTTAAATGTAAATATTTGACAATTCTTGTATAAAGCCACATATATGTGAAAATCAATATATATATTAGTTTGGCTCGTGGGGATGTTCTTAAGGTAAATCATGGGTACTAATCTAACTGGGATAAATTAATTTATATGTAAATATTTATTCATTTGAGGCCCCACAAACCTATCCACACATGTATGCGACTCTGTTCTCACACAAACGCAAAATCTCTCCACCAGGAGAGAGAGCAGAGCACTTGAGTGAGCTTCTTAATGAAAAAGCTGATTGAACTCAATGAGTCCTTCACTCCTGTATGGTTATGGGAATACTGAGCTTCCTCTATCTTGTTGACATGACGTGCCTGCTGTCCGGTCATTTGCTCAAACTGAGATGCACACCACTGCTGTAGTGTGGAGACATATTCTTTTGGTTGATCTGCTCATTGACTTTTCACTCATGACTGTTTGGATTGTATCTCATCGTGCCTCAAAGAGCACTGGTGTCTCACATTACAGTTAATCTGAATATAAAGTGTTTAACTCTTTAATGCCATGCCAAAAAGTGAAATTTGTGCACTTTAATCTACTCTTTCTACTCTACTTTAATAGTACAATTTCTTGATGCTGTTTCTGTTGATGTATTTAGATATGTAAATATTAAGAATATATTGCAAAATTATACTTTTTTAATATTTTATGTTTACTGAATAATAAACACTTAAAGCTTAGAACTACCACTGTGCAGTTGACAAAAAAGGCAGCATAATACTTCATTTGCAGTGATAGAAAAAAAGATATTACACAGAAAGTTCCAGTTCTGCATGCTGATACATTATACTGTGGCCAACTTGGACATCTCTGATTGTATTGCCAGTGAGCTGTTTAGTATGAAGAATGAAGTATGAAGGTTAAGGAAGTATGTCTTACTTTACTTAATGGACTCTGTGCCTTACACTGAGTAGACTACATATTTTTTAGAGGTGCTCTGATAACACTTTTCCCTTCTGATACTGATACATGTACTAACAGTATAGGTATCGGTATCAGAGTACAAAGCACTAAGATACAGAGTAACGATACCAATACTAATTCTGTCTAACCTAACTCACCTGTAAGTCCTGATATTTATACAATTACATTTTAAAATGTATTATTTTGGTATAATCTGTGTTCTGCATATCTTGTTGTTGTTGTCATATTCATTAGATGGTTAAGAAAACTTATTTTTGTTTGTTTACTATATGTATTTAGTATTTACTAGGCTATTATATAATTAGGAATAAGAACTGTTTAACAACGTAAGTAAATGTAAAATATCTTAATTGTACAAAACAGTTAAAAACAGACCTGAACATTATACAGATGAACCTGTGGTGTTTACACATCAGCACACAGCAGCTTCTCTGGCTCGAAAACAGAGCTGAATGTTGTTTAACATCCAAATTTGTCAAGCTCATTTGTCTCATACGTGCGTCTTGTTCACTTGTGCTGTATCTCTGAGCGTCAGTTCAGTAAACATCACCGTCATTCACGCTGTCATTATTAGCGACTTTTAGTGGTTTTTTTTTGGCTTGGGCTGCTATGCTAAATGCTGAATTGAGGCTAATGGCTATCATTGCGCCAAAAATCTGCCGGTTTCTTCCTCTGTCTCAATAACATTAACTCAGACTGTAAGTGGCCACACAGTGGCAGACGAGTGATTACTGAAAGAAGCAGCTCAGGCTCCATTAGCGTGTTTCTCACACCAAAAACTGCCGATACAGAATCTGCCATGAGTATTTTTTAGTGCTGCTTGTCATCCCACACTGCCGTTGTGTTATTAAGTTCGCCTTACAGGCACGCATGCACATGTCAGAAATTGCTTTGTGGTGTTGGTCATAAGTTTCGGTATCCCCATCACCGATACCGATACTGCGTTTTAAGTGCCAGTATTGGTACAGATACTGACACAGTATTTATTTATTTACTTTATTTTTTCCTTGTACTAAATGTTTAGTTCATGTTAATGATTTACCAACTGTTTTTTTCCACTGCTAGCATCCCGCATTCGTCAGGAGGACTCTCCACCTCGGATTGTGGAGCACCCCTCAGACCTGATTGTGTCAAAGGGCGAGCCGGCCACTCTGAACTGTAAGGCGGAGGGGCGGCCGTCCCCCACCGTGGAGTGGTATAAGGACGGTGAGCGCGTGGAGACGGACAGGGACAATCCTCGCTCACATCGAATGCTCCTGCCCAGCGGCTCACTCTTCTTCCTGCGCATCGTACATGGCCGACGCAGCAAACCGGATGACGGCAGCTACGTGTGTGTGGCCAGGAACTACCTGGGAGAAGCAGTCAGCCACAATGCCTCGCTGGAGGTGGCATGTGAGTGTTCTGAAAATCTTGCATTTATTCTATATGTCTTTTTTTACAGTTCATTTGACATTTTCTGAACTGCTTTGGCATTTTAAATTTAACGTAGCAAAAACTTGTTAACTTTTTGTTAGATTTTTGATGTTGAAAACCAAGTAATAATCAGCTGATTAGATTTGTTCATGCACTTTCTTTTGTGTTGGTTTGTGTGCGTGTGTGTTTAATGGCTTTAGGCTGTGTGAAAGCCATTGGTCCTAACGGGCTGACAACAGCTTGATCTATATATTGTCATTACTGGAGTCCTAGGAAACTAAATGACAGGAAAGCCATGAAACATTGATGAGGTCTCTAGGTTATTCTTTTATTTGTTTTGCCATTCTGCATCTCTTTCCTTCGTGGAGGCCTTTATTTTGCCTGAGGGAAGAAGGAGGTGGTTGTTAAATGAGGTGTTGAATTTTTCAGAGTGTTTGGCCGTGGGTTGCAGTAGGTTATGATGTCAGCAGGTTAGTGGATACAGCATTGAAGAGGAAGAGTCTCAAGCATGAAAGGAGATGGACCAGAAATTACATGGAGGACTTAATAGGGTAATTACAAGCCATGAAAGAATAAAATGTTAGTAAATTACATTTAAACGGTCATAATAATGGTTGACTTAATACATTCGCTAATGAGCTTAATATCGTTTGCCAACCGGTCGCTCAGTGTGTGTGTTACAGTGAGACGAATGTCTAGGAATTTCAGTAGTAGAACGTCTTTGGAAAAGCTTGATCTTTTATGCTGCACGCTAAACTAGAGCAACAATGCCTAAAGCAGAACAGGCACATGTTGTACTGTGACCTGAAAGCTAAATTACATATTCTGCCATGTTTAATTCTAACGAATTCTGTGTTACATATGCCCTTTTTGTTAGTTTGAATTCCTTTTTTATACTTTTGATGAATAGTAAATCAGAATTATTGACTATGTCTTCTCTCTTAAACAGTAAACACTCTTTTAGCTGTATAGGTAGTTATTTTTTTCAGGATGCAAAACAAAGAAGTATTATGGTAAAAAAGTAGAATAGGTGCAAAATTTGGGCTTCCCTGGCCAAATGACATATTTAGTTGATTTTTGAAGAACACAGCCTTTGCAGCAAACTGTTTATTTTTTTTTTGCAAATGTGAGTAAACAGTTACTTTATATTCACTCTTTAAAAAGGTGGTTCTTGAGGGGTCATTTAAGAAAGGCAGTGGTTCTATTTAGAACCAGGAGTTCTAGAAAGAACCATTTCATGCTTAAATGGTTATTTGCATTGTGATTTTTTTTTTCAAATTGACTGCCAATGTGTTACATATGGTTCTATATAGCACTGTAACATTGTAACAATAGAATAATGCTTTTAAGCATGAATTGGTTCTATATGTAGAGCTCATGGTTCGAAATAAAATCATTGCCTTTACTGAAGAACACTTAAAGAACCATGTTTTTAAAGTGTGTTTAACTAGATTGAATAGCAAAAAATGAAATTGTGGCATGTGCAAACGTTTGGACACCCTACTAAGTTAGTACATCCCCCTGTGGCAGGTATCACAGCTTGCAAATGCTTTTCATAGCGAGGCAGAAGACATTCTGTTCTTGTTTAAGGAAATTTCACCCTCTCTTCCTTGCAGAATGCTGGTTCTGTGATATTCTTAGGCTGTTTTGCATGCTCAACTTGTTTAAGATCTACCCACAGATGTTTAATGATCTTTAAGTCAGGGGACTGTAAGGGTACAGGAATTCATGGTGGATTTTAAGGTAGGTTTTGGATCATTGTCCACTTGTAGAAGTCAGCTCTTTTCAGCTTCAGTTTCAGTTTGACTGACTGTGTCATGTTTGTATCTAGAATTGGCTGTTATTAGTGAGATTTATTCTTCTGTCAAACTGTGCAATGTTTCTTGTGCTTGAAGCATACAATTGTCCAAAATGTCTTGGTATGCTGAAACATTAAGATTTCCTTTCACTGGAACTGGAAAGGGGCCTAGGCCAACCCCTGAACAACCTCATAGCATTATCCCTCCTCCACCAAATTTTACAGTTGGCACAATGCAGTCAGGCAGGTAACATTTACTATTTAACAAACCCAGAGTCATCCATCAGACTGACAGATGGAGAAGTGTGATTCATCACTCCACAGAATACATTTCCACTGCAGAATACACCACTCCATCCGACGCTTGGCATCGTGCTTGGTGATGTAAGGCTTACATGCAATTGCTTGGCCATGGAAACCCATGCCATGAAGCTCCTGGCACACAGTTTTTATGCTGATGTTAAGGCCAGAGGAGGTTTGGAACTCTGCACTTGCAGAGTCAGCAGAGCGTTGGTGACTTTTATGCTCCTCAGCACTCGCTCTGTAACTTTACATGGTCTGACACCTTGCTGAGTTGCTAAACGCTTCCACTTTTCAATAATACCTCTCATAGTTGATTGTGGAATATCTAAGAGGGAAGAAATTTAGCAGACTGACTTGTTGCAATGGTGGCATTACAGTACCATGCTTGAATTCAGTGAGCTCTTTAGAACCACCTATTTTTTCACAAATTTTTTTAAAGGCAGACTGCATGGCTATGTGCTTGATTTTATACACCTGTGCCAATGAGACTGAATGAAACACCTGAATTTTAATGATTAAGAGGTGTGTCCCAATACTTTTGTCCATATAGTGTTTGCACGAAACTGTAAAGTGAAATGTTGGGTTGGTGTGTAGACTTTGTGTGTTGCTCAGTAATATAGCTATGTTTGGAACGTGTGTTTATGTTGTTGTGAGTGATGGGCTTTGTGAGCAGTGAGCTTTGGTGTGTGTGACAGTGACATTGATATCCACTGTATAGTGTTTGTGTGTGTTTGTATATAGCAAAGGTACAGCCGAATGGTGTGCTGTACATTCTGTAAGAGAAATGGACCAGAAGGTGACCTTTTTTGCCATGCGTGGGTGAGTGAGGGAGAGTGCTTCAGGCCACTGTAACAGAATTTCCCACTGACTCTTAGTTGCTTTGTGTTGGGTGTTAATGTTTTCTGCACATGTCACAAAGTTAGGATAATACTGGACTAAAAACCAGGTGCTGTAATCATTCATGAATACCTGGTAGGTTACTGGCCTGACAAACTATTATTTGCCTGAATGTATTGTAATATGCGCAAATATTAACTGCTTAATTTGGGACCCTGCTGCAGCACAAAATGAAACACCCCCTCTAGCTTTTTGCCACCATACTAATGAAGTGGCAGCATTATTTATGAGTCTGGAATCGCAATAGATCAAGAAACAATTCAGAATCAGGCGCACAGTTTCAGCCAATTATGCCTGGTTCTGCTTTTGATAGTGAGGTGATTAGCTGACCATTTGGCGATTAGCAGATCAGTGACAGTATGTCAAGTGAAGTCAAGAGTGACCTGCTAACATCACATTTAGCTAACGAATGCAGTACCCCTGAGTAACAGCAACAAGCCTTTGCATATTTGTATATTCATTTATGTTGAATAGCTGAATAAGAACTAGGAACAGCAGATTGAAGAATATCATCATATTTCAGTTCATGGTTTGGTGGTACAAGCTAACCCAAGAAAATCACCAGAGAACTCTCCAAAATAAAAAGCATTTTCACCTTATTTTTTGGAGAATTAGCGGGGCACATTCTCAAAGTGCTTTAGGAAATGGATAAAATCAAGGGCAGAAATAATGGCTGGTAGGATTGTAGTGGTTTTAGTACAGTACTGCTAAATAAAAAAAGAGTTAGGATGTATAGATCTTGAAAAATGTTTTGAACCAGAAAATATGAGTATTGTTACGTCACTAATGGCTGGATTCTTTTGAGTAGTATAGCAATTGAGTGTTTTTCCTAGGTGAATAATAGATTGCAAAGAGAGATCATTTCAAAATGGTTGGTGTGGTTGGAGTGGGGTATACTTGATTAGAGATTAAAGATGAAAACTGTAACTCCTCTGCATAATTGGCTAATTTTGCTTCATTAAATGGCTAGTGATAGATAGTGTCATTGTCTAATATCTGAAAATTGGAACAGCAGGGAAGAGTGTGTAGCTAATATGCATCTAATGTTTTCTTTGGATTATTTTTTTAGAATGCATATTTACTGTTTCTTACAGGAAAGCTTTTGAAGGTGGTGCATGCTAAGTAAATTTAGAGAGAATGGAAGTCCATCTGACATTTGCTCAGGAAAACAGGATTGATCATAATATAGTGGGTGGTTTACTTGACTATTACTGGATTACTGGATGGTGTAAGGTGGGTCTGTGGTGAGTGACTGGTCTACTGTGGGAGCTTTGTCAAATAGAGTGAAACAAGGGAGAGGGAGCAAGAGAGAGATGGTGGAAGAAGGGGTAGGGGGAGGTAGTGATTAGATTTTTATGATCAGGAATGTGAGCAGCTTTGATGACAAATTGATTGCATGCAGAGATCCAGATGAGGCATCTGAGGAGATGTATGTGACGGGGGAATTTGAGTGACCTTTGTTAATAGAATGCACCATGGTGGTATTATCTGGATGAATGAGTATTGATTGATGGTCATTCATGCCCCCGAAGACATGCAACAACACCAATGGAAAGATGTTTGGGGTGGTATGGTAGAGACCTCATCTCAGAGCAGGGAGTTAAACTCACAAGGCCAGAGTGTCGGAGATCATGGTAATAGCTCTTAAGCCTCCACACATTACCTCATCAGTGGACGTTGCACAACTGTAGGTTGAAGAAAAAGAGGAGACAAAATTGTCCGAAAGTCAATATATCTGCAAAAAAAGGAGCAGAGCTCCAGGTCAAGGAAGTAGAAAAGGTTTATCCGAGCAAAACTAATCAGGAAGGCAACAGACAAGGCTGTGTTAAACAAATGAGAAATAAATGACTGACCATTGGGCATGATGTGCAGATGAATAGGTGATTATGGTGGGACAACACAGTATGTCACATTTACTCCACTGGTTTAACCAGAGGCAAGTGGGGAGCTTTATCTTTAGGCAAGAATACTTGAAAATGAG